ATGACTGCAAGACCTATTCTCCTTCCGTGAGCCTTGCCTGAGATTTCAGAGGGAGTATATAACATTAAGTAGAAGTTGTTCACAAATAAGAGAGCTACTAGACTTTGTTTTTGTTTTTTATATATTAATGTAACATTTATTACAGAATTAGTGTAACTGCACAGAATATATTTGGAAAACAGAAAAGAGTAACAATTACCTCTAATACTACCACTACCACCAGCACCACCACCACAATACAATCATACCGTAACTTTTAGGTATATTCTCTTTCAGTCTTTTTTCTTAGGAGTGAATATTTCATATATACACAGATAAATATATTCATATAAATAAATACACATGTGTATGCACTATAGGTATTGCTTCATAACCTACTTTTTAATACCGAGGCACAGAATAGTGGAATCCCAGCTCCACACTTCCGTGGGACCCATGTGTCTAATCTCCTGTGTTCTTATTTTCCTCATGTTTAGAGTGGAAATAATAGCTACCTATGGATTATTGGGAAGATTAAAATTGATAATATATGCAAAGGACTTAAAATACAATTTGTCAAATACCTTCCATTATAGAATTTTCATAACTATAATTTTTATCAGTTGTATAACAGTTTACTGAATTGACATATGAATGTCACTCATCTGGTCTTCTACTTTTGAACATTTAAGTTGCTTCTAATTCTAGATGATTACAGATAGCCTTGTGGGAAGCTAATTAATATGTGTGGTCTTTTCAATATTTAAGATTATGCACCTAGAACAGAGTGGCAGAAGTAAGATTATTAGACAAAACGAATGAGTAAGTTATGGCTTTTGATTCAGACTGTTAAATTATGCCCTACAGAGAAAGTTTCTGGAGATAAAGAGACTTTTTTTCTAGGCCAACAGAAATGACCCAATGAAGAAGCAGCAACAAAAAGAGTGTGTGTATGTGTGTACACTCATGCATAGGGTAGGCTGGGAGACAGATGTAGAAAACAAAACTTCCAAAGATACCTTAGAGGTTAACTTTAGAATTTAGGAAAACCACTTTATCATCTGAGCAGGTGAGAAAATAAAACGGGCCGACAGCTAGAGAAATTTTGAAGTGAAGTGAGGGAAGTTGTTGAAACACAAGCTGGCTCTCTCAGCTCTTCAAAGTGAAGCAGGGGATAAGATTTTCTTCTGAGAGAGACGGAAGGGCACAGGTGTGAGCTAGGGGTTGAAGGGATGGAGAGGCTGGGATTGTGGCAGTAACTACAGATAAAGCGGAGCAGCCTAATGCCCTGACTGGTACTTCACTGCCACCGATTTCTGAGCTCTGAATTATCTACAGTCTGTCTGTCTCTGATGGTCATGATATCCTTGAGGGGCAAAGGGACAAAGGGGAAAGAAGGTACCTAGATGATTCCAAATTTAGAGACACCAAATCTTGAAGATGTTTTTCCATGTCTGCCTCATATTCTCCTCTTTGCCTGTGCTGTGGGCTAGCAGGATCATCATGCCTTCAGTTACCCCCCAACCATCATCTCTTGAAAATGGCTTTTGCTCCCCCATCGGTCTACCAACACTGCTCTTGCTGAGATCACCGGGGAGCGCCACTTTGCTAATTTCAGTGGCGAAGCTGGCAGTCTTCTACTTGACCTATCATCTGGCTCTCCTTCCTCTTTGAGCTCTTGGTTACTTGGGTTCCAAGACACCAAAAGTACCTTGTTTTTCTTCTACTTTTCTGGCTGCTTCTTCCTAAGTCTCTTCTGCTGGCGTCTAATCTCCCTATCCTCTAAACGTTGGTGTGCCTCAGAGCCCTGGGCACGGGTCACTTTTCTTTTCTATCCATATTCGTTCCCTTGGTAATCTCGACCAGTGGACTGGCGTTAAATATCATTTATAATGCCGATGACTCCGCATTTGTATCTCCAGCCAGGACATCCTCCCTGAACTCTAGGCCCAGAAATCCAATTGCCTTTCTCATATCTCCACTTAGATGTCCAATGGGCAACTTGATCTTGACACGTCCAAAACTGAACTGAGGCTGTCATTCCCAAAACTTCCACTGTCTTCCTCATCTCAGTAAATTGTCAACATCAATCTCCTAGTTGTTCAGACCAAAAATCTTGGAATCATCTTTGACTTCTCTATTGCTTTCGTACCCCACATCAAATCTGTCAGGAAATCTTGTCAGTTCTATCCTCAAAATATATCCAGAATACATCCATTTCTTACCCCCTCCCTCACGACCGCTGCAGTGCATAACTCCCAGAGAAACCGTTCATGTTTTAGTTGACAGGAACAGTGCCCCCTAATGCAGCACCGTGCACAGCCTTCGGGGCCAGAAGTATCACCTCAGTCCAAACTGTCAGCATCTCAAACCTAGATTATTGCAATGGCTTCCTAAATGGTGTCCCTGCTTCTGTCCTTGCTGGCTCACTGTCTATTCTCAGCACAGTAGTCATGCCAAATTTAAGTGAGTCAGATCACTGTTCTACTGAGAACCCTCTAATGGCTTCTCATCTCACCCAGAATAAAGGAAGAGTCCTTACAATGATCTATGAGGACCTACTTAATCTGCCCTCTCTTCCCCATTACCTCTTTTATTTTGCTCACTCTTTTTCAACCATACTGGTGTCTCTGTAGTTCCTTGTACATTTCAGATAAATGACTGCCTCAGGGCCTCTGTACCTGTGGTTCTGTGTGGATGGCTCCCTTCCTTACTTCCTCTAGGTCTTTACACTCAGATGTCAAATTCTCGGGGAGGTCTTCTCTGATCACTTCATTTAAAATCGCATCCCTTGCATTCTGCACAATTCCTGTCCCATTCTGTACTTAATGTTTCTTGCTAGTAGTTATCACTATCTAATATACTTTATGCTTTATCATTTTTAAAATTTTTATTATTTCAGAGTATTATGGGGGTACAAATGCTCTGGTTAAATTGCCTTTGTACCCCACAAGTGTGCCCATCCCCTGGACAGCGCACACCGCCTGTTATCTCTTTCCCCTGCTAGAACATAAGCTCCATAAAGGCAGGATTTTTCCCTGTTTTTCTCACTACTGTGTCCCCAGGATCTAAAATATTTCCTGCCACATAGAAGGCATACGATTATGTGTATATGTATTTTTAAGCTATAGAAATAAATATTTGGTCAGAGTGTAAAGAACTTGAGGTGGGGTAGGGAAAGGCTTTTGAGGATAACTTTCAGGACGTAGTCTAAACACTAGCCATTGTTATGTTCCTTGGCTCTTTGCTTTGTGGTTACTTGTGAAGATTAGATTTTAAAATTCATGGAATATGAGAGTTAGAAAAGATCCCTGAGAATACCCTCACTTTACAGATGAGGAAGTTTTTCTTCTAAGTTATTTTGGCAGGGTTTTAAATTATTCATTGCAGCAAAGGCATGGTCCACTGAGCTCACTTATGTTAACATGTGACATGCACGATCCTGGAACGGGAAACTGGCAACGGAGATGGAGGTAAATCCTTTCACATAAAAAAGACCCAGTGGAATTAGGATCTTCCATCTAAATGCTTTTAAACAAAGACTATGTTTGTAGTTTTATCAGTCAACACATATTCTGAGGAATAAATGTATTTTTCCACTTCTATTAACTATTACCACTTAAGACATTATTCCTAGTGGGAAAAAATTATTAATGGGTTAAGCTAATATAAAAACGGATTCAAACTGCGAAGTACATTCTTTTTAAGCTCTAAAGCCAAGTTTTAGACTTTTAGTCACCACAGATATCTCTTTTTGGCAGATAAGTAAATCATGGGCCAAATAAAGAACTAAAAAAAAAGCTAGTATTATTTATTTTAATATTTATTTTTAACAAAAAAAGAATTAAATCATTAATGTTAAAAAATAGTTAATGTATACTGATTCCAAAGCTTAATTTCTTTGAGAACTGTATCAGACACAAGTCTGAGGTGGGTGATTATTTCTGTCCATTCTAGCTGATCAGTTTACTCTTAGAAACTAAGCATCAAGACATTTTCAGAGAAAAATCACATAAATGTGTTTTCTCCTAGATTTCCATTTATGTATATTTCACCTAGGGCAAAATTGGGAATCTTCTCTGAGCACATGCAAAAACTGACAATGGGAAAACAGGTGGCCCATAAATTTTGTTAAATGTATGGAAAACCCAGCATGGAGCTAAAAACTGATCAAAGGATTTTCACACCAAATAGTAAGAATGGATACTGCCTATTTTTATTAGAGATTCCAGTTCATGTTATATTATAAAATTTATCTGCAGGGTTTTTGTTGTGTTATCTTTTTTAAAATTAAAAAGGCAGACCTTAGTTCTCACTTTTTAGGGAAACTAAAGCATAAAGGAAAAAGGATGATGAATATTGAGAGTTACACTGAAATATTTAGTTATTGACTAATCCACTTGTAAAACTTATACTATATGTGGAATTAATGATCCAGGACTCAGGTCTGAGGCAACTGTGTAGGGGATTGATTTCTTTTTGTTTCTGATTAATTTAGAAGAAAATACAGAATATAGATTTTAAACTAAATCTCTGAACATGAAGAGATTTCTGAACACAAAGATAAGTTGATCCTCTTTCCCCGTGTATTTCTTTCAGCTCACTTTAAGTTCACTTTTTTCTTTTTTTTTACATATTCATATAGACAAGAACAAATAGAATAGAGGAAAATAAGGAAAAATGCTTTATGGGCAATTTTACTCCAAAAATAAAGTTTAAAAATGCTTTAAAAAATGAGATAAAAATCAGACCAATTTAAATAACACAGAAATCAAAGTGTGTGCTGTCTCTTGTTCCGATGGCAGAATGCAGTATTTCTTGGCCTTAATTTTTATATTTATTAAAGAGGAATACAAATGTGCATACTCAATAGCTCTAGGGTCTCTCTCAGAACTCATATTCTATAATTCTGTGAAACTCAAAGACTGAAATCACTTTTAACTTTTTTACAAAGTAAAGAAAAGAGATGTGATACTTCCTAACTGGCTATAAGTAAAAATTTTATAGACATATTCACTTACCACAATACCATCTTGATTTTCACTGAGCTCAGAAAGTTTAGTACTGGACTTCTGACGTTTAGGTTTGCTCCTTTCTCCAACATAACCGGAAGTATTTTCATGTAATTTTTCGACTTCCTGAGTGTTCAAAATACAACCATTGGAGCTGTTGAATCCAGAAGGAATATTTTCTTTGTTGATAAGTCCCCTTGAATTGAAAAACAAAAAAGCTTAGTTTTATTTTAAAAGGTAAAACAGACATTTCATGATACCGCCACTGCATCATATCACATATAGGAAGTCCAAAGAATGCCCAGAAATTCCAGTTTGCATCTTTGATCAAAAGCTCAGTAGAGTGCCTCTCTTGAGAATGCTTGGTGCCAAATAAATCACATTAAAAGAGAAATTATTCCTAGGGGCAAATTGGCAAGGGCTATGTTTCTACCAATGAATAGCTTTTGTATTTTACCAAAAGTAATTTGTATTCAAACAGGGAGAAGAGAGCAGGTTTACACTGAAATTTCCCATTACTGACAGATGTTAATATATATTTTTAATTTCATAAATTGATGAGGATTAATTAATAATATGGAAGAGTATCTGAGAAGGAAATATGATATCTTCCTAGAATGGGACATAAGGATTTTCCTAAGTGATAAAGACATTTTAGTAGTGTACAAATGCATAAATATTTAAATCTTATTGAATTACATAATCTTGGTAGAAATCACATAAGTTAATAAAAGCTACGGAATAAAAAGCATTTTAACTGAAATATGGATTTTTTACTTCCCAGTACAAAGGAGTTCCAGGATGTAAGCTTATAATGTGGAAGTCCTTCATGACTTAATTTTAGAAGAAGATGTAAATGTTATAATTATAGAACTTAATTCATTTAATGGTCACGAAACAATTTTAAGTATTTATAAACATTCCCGTAATAGGTTTTCACAAAATTAAATTGCTTAGCAACCTGGACTTTCTTTTTTCAAAAAACTATATCATGGAGTAAATTAAGACAGCAGCACAGCACTGTGGCTTGGTAAGGAACAAATGAATGAGATGTCTACTCTCCTTCATTATATGACTGAGGCAATGTATCTCCCTAAATACCTAAAGCTGTATCTTAAAACAAATGAGTTCTAAAGAGTAAAAACAGATACCATATTTTACCATCGGCTGAACCATATCAAAAAATGAGAGGTAACATTAAATATTTATTCTACAATCTAAATTCATATCGTTCAGCTATAAAGAAGGCAACATTGTGAATTAAATACTATCGTAATATTTTCAAAGTTATGCTATCTTTGGTAATTTTTAACATTCTATATTTAATTTAGTCTTATTTTCTATAACTTTACTGTGAAAAATATATATTGAGTGAAATTATATAAAGGATTTCTGCACATTTATAAGAAATATTTTAAGTATAAAGTAATTAAAGAGAGGAGGAACAGCTAATAGGGACAAAATGCAAGCACATGTGCTCATGCAAACACTTCAGTCTCTCCCCTCCATGCAATGAGAGCGGTGCCTTCTGTGCATGGCTGGATGAGTTTGTTCTAAACCTCGAAATTATTTGTTTTACTATTTACATTCTGTCTTCTTATCACTCTTTCCTAACTCCTGGGTATATGTCCAATGGTAATTTTTTAATGGAGGACCTTTCATGCTTGAAACCTACTATAGATTGAATTGTGTTCCTTCAAAAATTTATATATTGAAGCCCTAATCCCCAATGTGACCTTATTTGGAGACAGGGCCTTTAAGGAGGTAATTTAGGTTAAAAGAGTCATAAGGGTGGGACCTTAATCTCACAGGGCTGATGTCCTTATGAGGAGAGGAAGAGACATCAGGAGAGTGTGCACACAGAGGAAAGGCATGGTGAGAAGGTGGCCATCTGCAAGCCAAGGAGAGCGGCCTCACCAGAAGCCAACACTGCTGGCTCCTTGACTTTGAACTTCCAGACTCCAGAACTGTGAGAAGATACATTTCTCTTGTTTAAGCAACCTAGTCTGTGGTAGTTTGTTATGGCAGGCCAAACAGACTAATACAGAAACTAAAAATCATTTTTAAAAATCAGAAAACAAAGTTTATAATCTTTTTGAATAGCAAATGAATGACTAGAATAAATCTTGTCAAAATAAAATATACGAAAATCTGACCATGCAATTGTGCTCATGTGGAAATCCTGTTCTCCCCAAAGGAAAAGTCTTTCCTTTTATATGCACACGTCTCGGCTATAGTACCTACGTGACTGTGCAGAGCACTGTGTACGTGATTCCCTCCTGCAACATTCTGTCAGGTTTCAATCATAACTGACATAAGCTGGATTTGACCTGAATTTAGATCTCTGGGTCTTTCACTTTAATTATCTAGATCTTATCCCC